ACAGGATAAACTCTAGTTTTTGTGAAAAGTTTTCCCATGATCAAGGGTAACATGCAACATTTATTCAAAGAAGATGTACATGTTACTCTTTTCTACAAGAAAGGAAGCTTTGGAAACACAAACTAAAGCCATCAAAGATTACTGAGTTGCACTAAAGAATTTATAGCATGCTTTCCCAAGAAGCAGAATATATTCATGTTGCAATCTTTATTCTTACATATCAGCAGTGGTAAAATAACACTGCTTTGTGGTAGATACACTGGAGATATTTTTATGATTATAAAACAAGATAATATGGCTATTTAGGTACCTTATGCAATCATATTTGTATTCTGTCATTCCTTGAAGCAGTTTAGGGCTGCATAACAAGCGCCTTGTTCATTTCATCCTCACCAAGATATAAATTAGTGACTTGCCCAGGATCTAAATCCAAACAAATCTGAACACTACCCTCCTCTGTCCTATACTCTTATCTGCTATACCAAATAAGCACTTAACTGTGTGAAGGGATAAAATCCAGTACTAGTGCATTCACATGAGAGTCCCAGACAGGGTGGCCAGTAGGTCTGCTACTGTGGCGATGGTGAATTCTCTATTGATTTTACTGCCACTCCTCCCACAGCTATTATGAGCTGAACAGAGGCTCTTCTACTTCTAGACCCTATGTCTCCAGAGGTTCAGTAACAGTGGAGTTCCTGATCAATTTGGAGCAGCTACAAGAAGAGCAACACTAAAATCAAGAGTGGATTTATCATCATTATTTATTCATATCCCATTTTCCCATCCCTAGGATTTAAAGTGGCTTACAAAAGTTAAAACCAATAAAAGTTCACATCACTAAAACATATGCAAGTTAAAATATATGTAAACTATAAATATAATTTGAAAAGATTTAAGAGCATACCGATTAAAAACAACAAATACAGTCAGTATATTAAAAGCCCCAACAATGGCAAATCCGCCAGATGCTTAACCCTAACACTGTGAGAAATAGACCACACTGTTAGCATTATTATGTTTGTAAAAACACTGTAAGGCAGGTAAGGCCTTACAGTTTTGTTTTTTTTCTCCTCAAGTGATAGCCATCACTGAAAAGCAAACTATCAGACAGATAGCTATTAAAAAACAACAAAGTAGGAAGGGCCTTTAACTTAGGGAGTGTAGGTAAAATGAATAAATAAATCCTTACATTGAAACTGCAGAGGTTAGGGTTGATTCTAGTGGAAGAAGAATTCCTGCAATTTTAATATGACAAATTCAGTTTTACTGACCTTGCAGTGCCATCTGAGGATGCAGTAAGCAGATGTTGATTATCCTTTGACCAGCAAAGATCATACACAATGTTCAGATGTCCATAAAATTCCTGCAGGTATTGGCCAGAAGGAATCTCATATACTGATGAAAACACAAAATTACATTTGTAAAGCTTTGGGAATACATTAAATTAAGCAGATATTAATATTCAAAAAGTCTATCTTCACACAATACGCAATTAGTTTACAATTAGTTTGTTTATAGAAAGAAAACATCATGACTATACACTAACATTAAAGATAGTTTTCCTATGAATATGTCACTGGAAAACATAAACAGGGTGAAGGATGCTATTGCACCTATGTCCCGCTTGAGGGTTTGCCACAGAGATCTAACTGACCACTGAGGGAACAGGAGTATTTGACTAAATGGGCCTTTGATTCTGTTTTATGATTCTGTTTTATTATAAAGAGCTTGATTAAATAAAATCATGTATGTCTATGCACAATTAGGTCCTGTGTAGCGTTCAGTAGAATCTATTCCCAAGTAAGCACAGGCTGGTTTGCAGCCTGAAGGGTTTGTTTCTATCAAACTTAAACTGCTTTTTGGGAAATAATTTATATACTTAATGTATGTGATAATTATTACAATAAAACCATATTTTCATTGTCTTTGATTATATCCATTCAATTCTATTGACTCCCAGTTAAATTCAAGATAAGCAAACAAGGATCTGCTGCCATCTAGTGCTTGGCAAGTGTAAAAAAAATCAAACCTAAATAATTTAAGTCATTTCAATATTAATTATATGTATTTATGTGCCTTCAAGTCAACTGTCAACTTATGGTGACCTAATGAATTTCATAGGATTTTCTTAGGCAAAGAATACTCAGAGGTGATTTTTGCCAGTCTTTTCTCTGAAATATGACCTACAGCACCTGGTATTCATTTGTAGTCTCCTATCCAAGTACAAACCAGGGCTGACCCTGCTTAGCTTCCAAGATCAAATGGGATCTGGTGCCTTTGGGGTATTTATGACCACAGTACACAGATATTGTGTTCATGGCTGTCATTTTTTAAGGACTCTTTCACTGTACAACAAAAGAAACATGCATATCCTAGTGTAAGCTTTTAATTCCGAAAAACATTAGTGTGTTTCTATATTGAAATCTGAGTATTTCTTGAGACTATAACTTACAAAGAATTGGATAACCATTTCTTTCTACACAACCTGCTGCTAAAGTCCGACCATCTTCAGAGAAGCGAATACAGAAACATCCCATATCTCCAGCTCGCAGAGAAAACAGATATTTGTTTGGTATACGACAAACCTGCATTTAGAAAGCAAACAATTATTCACACAATTGTTATATTAACAGTTTGATAACTGTAACTATTTCCAGGGGCATAGCTGTTTTAGGCTGAAAGAGCAAAAACCAAGAGGCATGTGGTACTTCAAAAACTTAACATATTATAATACAAACTTTAATAATCTAGACTCCATCAGATGCAAGAGGTTATCCCAAAATGGCAGATGATCAAAAGGGCAGGGACGGTACACAGTAAAAACTATGATTAATTTTGATGGTTCTTCATTCTCATGATTATACCTGAAATTGGGAGCAGGGCTTGGACTGGCACACATCTTCCCCTCTACCACTTGCTGAACCACAAACATATTGTAACAAGTGTGCTGAGGTCCAACCTACGCATTGTTACTTCCCCAAGGTGGTTTCTTTCAGGTTTTGGAACACATAATCTCTTATGTGTTCTCATAATTCCAGCAGCAGCTATGCTTTGCATCCTGGTAGGGCTAGAAAAGACCCCATGTGAAATTGTGGGAAGCTGCTGTGAATAAACTGATTATGGGAGCTATAATCCAACACACTAGAAAATGCCAAATTGAGGGAGGTTATTGTTATACTTTTATAAAAGCATGGTTAAACTGGACAATTTTGAAGAAGCTGCAGAACTACAATCTAGAATGTATTCCTGGTCTGGACCCTGTATCAATCTCCTGTTAAACCTCTACCCCCACCGGCAGCAATTTCCTGTCAAACTGGTGGTGGTCAAACTGCTGCTCCCAGTGGGACTGACATGAAACCAATGTGTGATCCCAGTCCAGTCTGGAAGTAGATTTCAGCTTAGCTACTTTTTCGTTAGAATAAATGCACCAGTATAATTGTACTTCTGTAAAAACACAAATGTCTAGTTTAGGCCTGGCAGAGCCTACATTTAAGTGTGTTATCTCCTTAACCCTTGCAAGATGGATCTGAAAACAACAATTTTTCTGCACTGAGACTAGTCTGGGAAAAAGTGCATGAGCTCAAGGCCTTTTTGCCAATAACTGAAATGGAATTCTGTGCCACCCCCAACCCCACCCATAGGGAGGACACCAGTAGTAATAATGTGACATACTGCTTTTCACATTTTGATTATTATGTCATTTCTTAATTTGACAGCTAAAACTTTACTGCAAAATTCATATTTTAATTCTAATTGTCACAGCTGCAAAGTAACCACAAATCTCACAGAAGTTAATTGTGGTAGACATTCCCATACACTGGGGAAAATGAAATCAAAACATCCACTTTGTCCTTACATCAAAAATGTACTGCTATGTAAACAGTTAATGCTTTACATGATTGATTCATAAATACTTGATTGTGTGTTCCTATATCGCCATGTGTTGGACTGGATAGCCCTTGTGGTCTCTTCTATGACTCTATGATTCTATACATACACAAAAAAAAAACTTATTTTAAAATATAGTATTTTTAAAGAACTTGCCTGTCCAGGGAGTTTTGACCACTTAAAAGGTTCTTCTTTTTTCACCTGTGGTCCAGAATTATTAGTTTTTTTAGTTATTTCCCTTTGGAGCTCCAAGAATGACGGAGCATGGTATTCTTGCTGAACAGCCATCATAGAACGTAATGAAGGATCTACCTACAGTTTTTTAAAAGGTAAATTCCTTTTCGTTGATGAAGAATATCAAGAACATTATAACAGATCACCAAACAACATGGAAACAGAAATATATATTAAAAGAACATTGCTGTTAAAATTGATTTTATTATCATATTCTAAGC